ATCGCTCGCGGAAGCTCCATATCACAGGGACATCAACTGGTTGACCACAAGTCTAGTAATCCTTAGGACAGTCGTCATTAACATAGCCATATGTTACCCATCCGGGATTTTTATCCAAATAATAAAAATAAACAAGCATAAGTACGTGTCGTACTCAACAAGTGTAACATAGGGTTCATGAGGCTCAAAAGGCTTGACATAGGTTTAACAACATTCAGCTTTTAATTGTCACAATTTTAGCATAAGAGTAGCAACAAGTTGTTTCAATCCCAAAGTAAAACACATGATCAATGTAAATATGAATAATGAATAGCATAAACTAATAATTCTTAGTGATCATCTAATCCATAAATGTTCCAAGGCCACTCGTGACCATGAGCACGGCTAATATACCAGTTTTACACTATGTAGAGGTTTTACACTTTCACTGTGAGTCGTGATACCCATATGCCTGGGTTTATAACTCCCAAAACAGTTCTAAGGTGAGCAGGCAGCATTCACTATGAAGCCATTCAAAGATTCGTCTAACAAGTTAGGGCCATTAGATTTCACTCGGCAAAAAGATGTAGAGCCCCCCTTCCCAATGGCACATTGACGCGTGGCCTATACTCATGGGGACAGAGGCCGTACTATACCCAATTCGGTAAGTCATTCTTACGCCAATAAAGGTAACCACTAACAAGCTAGAAAAGGACCTCATACTGAGCTAAACCCAGAGCCATGTAGCCCTCACAGCTGTACTGTAAGTCCCGGATGATCACTTATAGATAAGTCCTTACTGAGAGGAATCTGAAGTATTTAGAAAGTAGCTAAACACTCCAGCCCCCAGTTTCCAAGTTGCTAAAAAGTCATATTTTAATGTTTATTGCATATACCATTAGTCAAGTTACAAAATCATGGTTTAACTTAGCACTAGCAAAGCTACCCAATGCATATCCCATAGGAGACATGGTATAAGTTCAATTCTAGGGAATCCCTATCAAGGTGACACATGCATCATGAATTAAATGTATTAAAGTTGATAGGAAACAAGGATAATCCCACGATATACTTGCCTTGAACAAAGTGCTCCTGCTCGTCAAAGTAGTACTCTTGTTCACCCATGAATTGCTCACCGTCTATACTCGATAATCACAGTAACATACAAGCATCCAGTAGCAATCATGCATAGCAAACAAAAGCTACAGATTAGAACAGTACACCAATAGCATAACATCAAGATGAAAAGTTTGCAAAACCAATCTACGTCTCCCTACGAACACACGGACACGAAGATCACAAAAATCGGAGCGAAAACGAAGAAGTTATGTATTAAACAAGATTTCCATTAGTAGAATAATAGATTAAATCTAATCTCGAATTTTAAAAGTTGAAAACATACCTAACAGTAGTATAAATATGTAGATTATGGAATTATGAACCTAACGCAAGTTGAACGGATCAAATCGGAGTTCAAACGAAGATTTTATGGCCTACAGAAGGTAGTGGCAGTTATGTAAATAGAGGAAACTCGATTTTCGAATTAAAATAAATAAAATCTGATTTTTAAATCTGACCAAGGACTGCGGGCACTATTAAAAGAAAAGGCAGGGGTCCTTTTGAAAGAAACCAGGGACGACGGGATCTATATTAAAAAGAAGAGGGGTTCTTTAGCAAGATTACCACCGAACCAGTTTCTTCTAATTTGGGCTGGCTCAAAATGACTGGGAGGGATGGGGTCACCGGAGCGGTGCTGTGCGTGGCGGCGCCATGGCCGGAATCGGCCCGACCTCGCTGGAGTTCGTCGAATCGGCCACTCCGGTCACTGTTTGGCTCGGAAGAAGATCAGGGAGCAAGAGGAGAATGAGGCGAACATGATGGAGGGGATTAGGGTGGCAGAGACGGCCCGGGGGTGACGTGGTGCAGGATGGGGCAGCTCGAGCTTGCCAGAGAAACACCGGTGATGCGAATACAAGCACAGAAGACAAGAGAGAGAGCACGAGGGACACCAGCAGGTCACTCACCTTCTCGCGGAGCTCGGTGATGTGGTCGCGGCGGCAGAGGAATGGCGGAGCAGCGAATGGACCTCGGCAGAAATCTTTAGGGCGTGCGGCGGCGCTGTTAGGGCTTGAGCGAGGGCGGCGCTGGCTCTAGGACGGGATAGGGAGGCGGCGCGAGCTCGGGCTACTATTTATGGGCGGAGCTGGCTTGCGGATCACGCCAGGCATGGCGTAGAGGAGGCGGTCACAGCGGCGCGGTGGAGTCTGGGGCGGACACGCGCGAGGAAGACGGCGCTGACATGTGCGGGAGGGCTGTCAGCATCACACAGCGCGGGCGCGGCGCAACTGGGCCGCCTGCTGGGCTGAGCTGATTGGGCCGCTGCGGGAGAAGTGGGGCGCGTGGACGAGACTGGGCCGGCACGGAGAAGCTGGCCAGCAGGCCGAAAGCAAAGGAGGGAGTAGAAAACTCTTTTCTATTTTCTAAACTAATTTCCAAACAAATTTTTAATGCAAATTCAAATCAATTTGAAATCTAAGTTCAAACAACACCATACAAAAATAATATGCAGCAGCATGAATGCATAAACATGTAGGTAAACCTTATATTTGATTTTAATTTGATAAAATTTATTATTTTTCTATGTTACATGCTCACCCTAATGCATAAATAAATCCAATTCAACTATTTTCAAAATGTTGCAAATTTGAGGGTGTTACAAAGAGTAAGCACAAGTAGCTGGATAAACACTAGTTGTACTAATTAATGCATACATGTGGGCATACATTGTTCTTACTTAATTAAATCATAAGAAAATATGAGCATATGTGTTGAGTCCACAGCTTGAATCTAGGTTGCTGGTTCTACTGAAAGAACCCTATCTAACAAAGTTACTCTTAATTCGCAGCCTTTATAATTATTCTTTCTCAACCAAAAAAATTAGCGCAGCTAGCGTAGAATAGCCTGCCGTCGCCGTCCCATGCTAGATGTTGAGTGAAACACAAAGTATGTATTCCAAGTTATCCTTTTGTTTTTCAATAACAGCCTCTCACCATCATCCCACACTTAAAGCTGAGTGAAACAGAAGTACATATTCCAAGTTATCATTTTTCTTTCTCAGCCCATACAAGTAGTGAAACTAGAGTAGAAAAGGCCTCCCATTACCATCTGATGGTATATTCTGAGTGTACATGAGGTACATATTTTAAGATTCCAAGTTATCTGAAAAACAATTCAGTGCAGTGCATGCTGATGTTCAACTCCTGTTGAAGGACATCGCACTAGACAACATCTCTTCTTTCTGCACTTCGATCTTATCCATTTAATATAGATAACTGTTTCACACACAATAATATGGACATCATAGAGTAAAATTCAGCGGGAGTTCAGTGATATGCATTCAAGCATATTGTGGAATGTTGGACTTCAATCCAATATAGTAGATAACAACAGCATACTAGCTCCAAGCTTGCATTTAGTTAGTGCGTAGTAGAGATATGGACTCGGCCGGAAGGGACACCACTGGGACTTCAAGTCCTCATATATGCACTCAAGAGTGATTTAGGAAGGATGTGCATTAAATTTTATTTATCCACACTTTCTTATGCCTCCGTACCCAATTTCTCCCCCTTTCATGCCCTGATTAAATTTCAATTAGAAGTATGCTTCACGAATTATGTATAAGTCATTTCAAATGCTTATAAATTGTAATAATACTTCTAGTATTTATTATGGCATGACACCTATACTATTCAGTGTACAACAATTTGGTTAGGGTAGAATATAAACTTCAAGTTTTAGGGTACAAGTATTCAATACCTTAGTATAGAATTATACTTCTTGCTTGCATAAAACAATTCTTCTGAAAATCAATTATAGTATCAATATATTCCAATTGTTCATGTGCGATTTGAAAATTCGGTTTTTATCTACCTGCAAAGCAGTGCACAAAAGAACTATAACCTCTTAATTTGGTACATGAATTAAAACCTTAATGCGCTACCACTACTAATATTCTTCTTCGAGAAGGTCATGAAATATTCCAATTGATGTTCGTTTTTGTTCTTGTATGTTGTAGCTTCATGCTTTATTAAATGGTTGTGATATGCATTCACAAGCCTTCTAGGGGTGTGATAAATGTGAGTGATATATACTGCTAAGTCTCACTTTGATAATATCCTAATTCATATAAGCTACCCAAACTTCTAGCTCAATTTCTGCTTCATCTTGAGTAGTTGTGAATGATTAATATTAATACTTCTTGTACTCATTGCTCATAATATTCTAATCTTCTAGAATAATTGTAAATAAATCCTTGTTTATTATCTTGCCTTTATGGCGCAGAGAGCACATAGACTCACACTCTCGTCGCTTATGCCGCTGAGTCACCCACTCGCCCGAGATGAGACACCGATCAAGAGTTAGGATGACGAGACTCGAGAGTCAGAAAACCAACCGGCGCTAGGTGAGATTGTTGGGAGTGCGACGGGCCGCCAAAGATGTTTTTGGCTGTAGATTGTTGGGCTACATAGGATGCAGTGAAAAAAATAAGGCCTTTGATAAATGGGGCCCCTGTGCGATCGCACAGGCCGCACCTACTCCGGTGCGGCCGTGCAACACGTCCCCCGACGTGGCCAGCTGTGGGCGTCATACCAGTGCTCGGTCGGCTGTAGCACTAGCACGCTCCTGCGTGGATGGGGCATCGTTACCTTGTGTTCATAACGGATACTATACTAGGAACAAAGCACACCATTCCTGCACTCCATAGACCGCACAAAGCATCTCTTAGGTTTCCTATATTCTCATCCAAAAAAAGAAGATAGCTAGCTGTTATATTCTGGATAAATTCTCTCATTCTCTGCACCACTAAGGTGAACTGATGCTCCACATATTCATGTGCCAGATGCACTTCCACACTATAAAAGAATGCCTAGCTACCCCATGAACTTAAGAAGCCAAGAGTGCCATAACAAATACCAACCAGAAGCCCTCGATTCACTGCTTATTTGCACGACTCCGACAAGATGTCTGGCAACGGGATGAGCGGGGTCTTCACCCCTGTGATTCAGGGCAAGAACCAGCAGTCCAGCATGAACAGCATGCAGGTAACTGAACCTTGCAATAAGCATTATTCTCACGAGCAGCTCCAAAGGTCATGATCTGCGAGTGAGGTGCACTCCCGAATCGAGTGACAAGCTGTTTTTCTTTGCTCTTGTAGAACCATAACACGGGCAACAGCACAAATGTACCTGTGACTGGCTTGTCCTTCACAGGTGGCGCCTTCTTAAGTGGCAACTCAGTTAACGGACCACCTCCGCCACAGGTGAAAAATACTCAAGAACCCCCACTCTGCTAGCATATTTTCCTTAATTATTATCAGTTTACAGGAAAGAAATAAATCTTGGTCAAAGCTACGTGTCATATATGAGTATAAAAAATGTTACGATGGGTTATTTGAAGGATATTCATCTGATTATTACTTGGAGGATAAATAGGCCCACGAAATCATCATGAACATTGCTTGGAACAGACAGTATTGATTTCAGAAGAACATGGTGCTGGGGTTATATTTTTTTCTCTGATTTATAAAAAAGTGCTCTCTGTTTGGATCTCTGCAGATAATTATTTGTTAGGCAAAGTTGCCATAGCAGGTTTACCCTCATTTGAAATTGGATGTCAACTTGTACCAATTCCAATGAATTTATTTACTTATCTTCCAAGTTTCAATACCACAATGAAAGTACACGGGTTTCGTGAAGGACAAGACAAAACCAACAACTACTCCATTAAATACAATCTACTATATATGTGATATCAAATCAAGTCATAAGTAAGGACTTTTGCATACAAATCTAATGTTAAGAAACCTTAAACACCTTGTATTTTGGGACAGAGGCGGTCTGTCTTTTGAGTGAGGATCGTCAGTAATGCTTTTTTCACATTTAGGCTGCAGGAAACACCACCTTTGGCATCGGGGGGAATTCGAACTTCTGAGGTGGAAGTGGCGGGAGGACCTTCTACTACCAGCTTCTACCAACATATATGAAGTAAATAGTGAACCTGATAGAATAAAGCACTACTAGCCAGACTATGCATGTATGTACTTCTAAATAAAACGACCTTACGCCCGTGTTGTGGAGTCCTGTATATGTATGTTCGAATAAAGTCATGGGCCTACATATCTCAGGGCTTAGCTAGAAAAGCCAGTCATCGGCGCATATGGCTTTGATTTAATAGCATGCCCTTAGCGATGCAAGGCCGTCTGTTATGCTCTACATGTTCAATGAAGGTCTTATAAGCTCCTCCTTATTTGTCTCTACACTGTGTGATGGACTACTAAGCGTGGAGTCTAGGTACACCTTCGCGAGCTGCTGCCCTGTCTACACATTTGACATTTGCATGTCGGCTCACCGTCACCATTGTTGTTTAGGATGTCCTTGATACTGCCATCATCAGCCCTGATCTGCAGATAGTGCCATCTACAACAGTCATGTTCTGCGTGTGCAAGTATGGTCAACTGGTCAATGCATAGTTCATCTTTGAGTACACGTATCACACCTTAGAGCAGCAGGGCTGTGTTGGATTGCCTCCTTGAGCCGCAGCGTTGCCACCCTTGTCATCATCGTCGATAGGCGCGTCTTCCTTAATGTAGCCTTGTCCATGGTGGCGCTCATCATTGGCTCTCCGACACCATCATGACTACGCCTGCGACTTCATCTATGACAACATCATCATGCACATCATGTGCATGGTCAACATTGTTGTTAGGATTCTTCTTACTACCTTCTTCGAGGACCGTCATCGCAACCCTTAGATTATTTGGAGTGCACATTGTTTGGTACTTTACCCTCTCTCTCTCTTCATCCAGGACAGCCTCATTGCCAGTGTTGTCATCTCTTCTCCGATTACATTTATCTACTCTGGCAACTATGAGCTGCATCAATACCTTCTACCCCACGTTTAAAATTTTGCAAGCTGCAATCTTTGTTGAGTCCTTGTTTGCTGGTACCTTCTACCCCACGGTCTGCATGGTTATGAACTCTCCCTTGCATGTCAGATGTTGGACTAGCAACCAGTACACGCTTGTCAATGGCGGCCAAGAAAACATCAACTTTAGCATCGACCTTCTTCTCCATGATGCCTCCATCCCATCAAGTTCTTCATCCTCGATTGTTTTGACCTCAGTATTGTCATCTTCCTCGATACCTGCCTCGATGTGACTTCATCCTCCTTACTGCACTCTGCGTCCATGGCTTCATGTACGGATCACTCATCATCAGCATCCTCACTATCGAGCACGGCTATCCTAATTCCTACATACGGAATCCAGTACCACAGTTCCACGTCCTTACTCTTGGCTATATCCATATCAACATGAAGGGTTACTGCACGCTTGATCAACCCCATAGGCTTTCGCTTCAGCCACAACGCCCGTGTCACATTGACCATTATGTCTTGGGGTGTGTGGGGGTGGGGGTGGGGGTGTTATCAGGCTTATAACCATTGATTTCTTCTAGTGTCTCATTTTTTGTGATGCTCCCGCTGTGACTATGAGAGGATGTTAGAGTATATTAGGCAACTCCATATATGGTTTGTTTATGATGGATTATAATCCCATGATAACTTTTCTTATCTCCAGGAGAGGCTCGTTGCCTTCCAAACTATGTACTTTATATAAATACACAGGCCCCGAGGCTCAAGCAATACATTGACCTTATTAAACCAATTCTAGTCACCTACATCCAGATTGTGTGGGTTGCATGCTCCCTGATGCCCTAGGTTGTAGACAGTAGTGTTTCATTTTTATGAGTGGCGAACCGATGTTGTCAATAGGCTGAGGAGGAATGAAGGATTTGGTGTGTGTGGGGCCCGTGTGAACCATTTTGTGTTTATTCCTTCTTAATATAATGACGAGTAGTTCTCCTATTGGTCCGTGGAAAGAAAAACCATTAAAGCATGTGAGACCTATTAGGGAATTTAGCATAGCATCACTTAAACATAGATTTGGCAGCCTCTATTTTCTTCCTCCCAAAGATATACTCCCTTTGTTCCAAATTATAAGACGCTTTGACTTTTTTTGTTCATCCATTTTGCTACGTATCTGGACATAATATTATATCTAGATACATAGCAAAATAGATGTACCAAAAAAGTCAAAGCGACTTATAATTTAGAATGGAGTGAGTACTTTTTTGATGCATAGATGATACCACACCATCTTCTAGCAGGAGTATAAATATTTTTGCCCAGAGAAATCTAATTAAGAAATGACACACCATATGAACTATAGGAGAGCAACAAGCTAAATTGACACATGTCTTGTGGCAGCGTGCTAATTAAGTAGTGCTTCAATTCCACACATTAGAATATTTGAATTGCCAGTCGTAAGGGCACAGTATTCTATGTCCTGTATCTTCAGTAATTCTTTCACAACCCTCAAAACTTAAAGAGGCACATTTACGATTTCCACTACAATAATGCATGCCCATCGCAGTTGTTTGAAATGTGTCAAGAATAAAACTGGCCTTTCCCATTATTATCAGCTTGTAGTCCCTGTCACTAATAACTCATCAGATATGCACACACTACTGGAAACTGGAATTTTCCTGTCGGGATAAAACCGACAACGAAATAGCAAAAACCGACAGAAAAATTGGAAAACTAATTTCCCTATCGGTAATCCATATTCTCTGTCGGTACACCCTTTTCCCTGTCGGTACTTCTAAGCCACCGACAAGAAAATTCTAAGCCATCAGGTTTAGAATCGCATGTAACCCACAGAAAAATGTAAATTAAACCGACAGAAATAGACAGCTATTTCTATCAGTTCATTTATGCTGAAATCTACAAAATAATCTAAAATTTAACTTGAACCATTTATATTGCATGAAAATTCAATGAAGAGATCATATTACACAAGGCACACATGGCTAGATTCTTCAAATGACAAGTATAATACAATCAATCCATGTTGTAAATTATCAAGTTAAAAAATGGCACCAACAGTTACACTACTACATAAACTTTTTGTAAGGGCGGCTCCCGGTGATTTGTAGGGGCGGTTTTGCCAGCCGCCCCTACCAAAGCGTGGCTACAAATCATGCATTTGTAGGGACGGTTTCCAGACCGCCCCTACAAATAGATTTGTAGGGGTAGCTGTAGTACCAGCCGCCCCTATAGTACATTTTTTCAGTAAAAAAAATTCAAATTTATAATTCAAATTCGACCAGAATATATATATATATATATATATATAATTCAAATCTGACCACAAGCACAAGTGTATTATAGAAATTACAATTACAAGTCCAATTCATAAGAATATATACAATCCATCATTAAATAGACATAATTCACAAGTCTAATTCATTCCATAAGTCCAAATCGTCCCACAAGGTAAGACCAATGTTAAATTCCATACACATTGTTATCAATGGCCTAGAGCTAGCCTTTCAGTCTCACGAAGGCGTTGGTATTGTGGATTTCTACCTAAGTCAGAATCTCGATCATGGTAGGTGCCTTTGACGTGTACAATCCGGTCCAATATGAAGTTGTAAAGGTCGCTGACGAGCTCTAAGAGTTGGTCATCCTTGTATGGGTCTCTTTTCATTTCTTTCTCTTCTTTCCAGTACAAGACAATAAGTTTCGGTTTAGTACTTAATACCATGTGCGAAGTTTTTATACTACGGGTGAAGAGGTTCAAACTTACCCTTAAGGGGTGTCTCCTGTACGCACCGGTGTTACTCATCATAGAACATACATAGTATCTATAATGTACACTCCTAGGCTTCTGCTTGGGGCACTGTGTGTTTTGCATATGGAAATGTTAAGTAATGCTTTTGACAGCCATGTAATGGAGTACTGAAGTAAGTTACACTTACCGCACATAGTGTTTTTATAGCCAGCCTTTCCTTCCTTACTGGATCATGCCTTCTGTGATGTTTATTGACATAGAACCTAAATGCCCTGTTCGAATTATTTTAGCAAATATAACTTGTTAGTATCCAAAAGTGAACGTTACAAGTATGTATACAAACATATAAGCTAATGAGGTTTGTCGATATGTATACGTCTTGAGAATCGATATGAAGTCTTCGTATGTCACCGGGTCCCTATCTATTGAATCAAAGACCCATCCCATGCTCCTCCCGACATCGACGCCTATACAAATCTAGTGGTTGCTGCATGGATTTAATCATAGAACTAGATAAGCTCTTTTGCATCGAATAAGATATATCGAATAAAGCTTTAAGTATAGAGTTGAACTTACTTGAAGTTGTATGGTAGCCATATAGTAGAGTGCTATTGGAGATTTTTAAAAGCCAAGGCAATGTATGCCAAAACCTTAAGAGACTG